GAGTCACCAGACCTGGGCTTGAATTCCAGCTCAGTGACCCCAACTGGTTAAGTTACCTAACCTCTCTGCTCCTCAGTTTCCTCTGCTACAATGTAGGCTTCTTAATATCAACCTTACAGGGCCAGAGAGAGGATATGAATGAGGCAAGAAATATAAAATTCCTAGGTATCTGGCACTGGGAAGCCGTCCAATACTTGTGGGCCTGTTACAGGAATGAGGGCCAGGGAGGTGAAGTGAGTGACCCAAAGTCACACAGAAAGTGATAAAGCCCTGGACCCCTGATTTCAGGCTCAGTTGCTGAGGTCAGGAAGGCCAGATGAACTGGGAAGGGGGCTTGCTCCTGGGGAGGACTCTTAAATTTCATCCTTGAGCTTCCCCAAGGCCCTTCCACCAAGTCAGGAGAAAAGGGCTTCACTCAGAAGAACTTCTACTTTGGGGATAGAATGGCCACAGCCCCTGATTCATTCCTTTCAGTGTTGGCCAAGCTCTCCTGGGAGCCAAGGGGTCTCAAGCCAGGCCTCACCTGCCTCTCCACAGGGGTGACTACATAGATTCTCCAGGGTATCCCCACCTGTAGAGGGAATTTCCTGAGTCTGTAGGCCATGGTTGCGGCTAGGTTGAGTGCTGGAAGGGTGGGAGATTCTCGTGGCTTCTGTAGTGCAGAGTGGGCAGGATTCTGAACACGAGGGATGCCCATTGTATCTCCCAGCTTTTGTCCCAGGCTTTTCTGAGTTTTCCTTCTGCAGGGCCCCCAAGGCTTGGGGATAAACAGCCCATGTTCAGCTCATTTCCTGGTCTGCAGCAGCCTGGAGCAGGCAACAGGTTTAGTTTGGCCTCCAGCTCTCAGCAACAACTGCTCTCTTGCAGGTAAGGGGCCTTGCCCTGGAGGTTTCCAGAATCCAGAGCCATCATAAGAGAGATTTAGAATTGACCAAAGGAATATCCTGCTGATGGAGAGAATGATAAGGCTCCAAGCAGGCCTTATCTCTAGGACTGGTTCAATGGCATTCCCCCGCCCCCAGCCCCGGGGTCAGAGAGTTGTACAGGCCTTTCTCCCATGCCCTATCTAAACCATGTTTCTCTCCTGTGGGAGGCCGCATAGTACAAAGATCACAGGCTTTGAAGGCAGCAGACTTAATTGAATTCCCGGCTCTGCCATTCACTTTTCTCATCTGTAAAATGGGGATAATCATGTCTACCTCAATGAGCTGTTGGGAGGATTTCAATAAGAACACAAGTGAAGAGCCTGGCATGGTGCAGGTGGTTCCTGGAAGGAAGGTGAATTCAGAAAGGTTTTCTGTTAGTTGAGGAACTCCTGGCTGCCCGTCCTGGGGCCATGTGGCACAAGGATTTGGGGAGAAACAGAAGAGAAACTTGCTGCCTTCTTAGCCCAGAAACTGAAGATTACGAATGGCAAACATGATGCCAACAGGCAGTGGTGTGCTGGTAAGTGTTTAAAAACCGGCTCTCTGAAAAGATGTATATAAACATATAAATAAGTTTATTAAACTTTTTATTTGTATAAGGAATTGTAGCTCATAATTTGTAGAAATAATAAAATACATGATAGTCTTTATTGTAAATTCCATATAACCAATTTATTCCTACAAAATGCTTTCACTGATTTTTTTTAAAGAACTCATAGTTGATTTTTATTGATTTTTGAGGTCCACTTGTATTAGTCAGAAAACTTAGATTACAAATGATAAACAAGTGTAGTTTTGACATGAATGTTAGTTACTATTTTAGTTTAAGTTAAGGCAAAAGATTAATGTGAAACAATGATTTTTGTCTGAACTTCACAAATTAGTCAATGACTGAGCAACTTTGCTGAATTGCAAAGTAGTTTTCAAACCTGGAAGGCTATTTCCTTAAATTTTTGTGCTATTCACAATGTAACAACCACAGACATGACACTACTAGATTTAATCTACATTATTAACATTTTCTCCATCAATATCTTAAGTCTAGACAACAAAACAGCAAATCAAGCTCTGCTTTGTAGTATTTTCCGATTTCCGTGGTATAAATACTCCTACTGTGGCCAATTTCATGCTACCAACGTGACATAACTGAATAGAGTTGGGAAGAGATGTGCAGTAACACACCAATATGTACTATTTCCAACATACAATAGTACATATTTCCAACATACAATAGATGTTAATAATTTCAAGAACATAGATGATAATCAAATGGGATAAAATAATTAGGAAGTTAAGACTTTTGTTTTAAATATAATCTATTTAGTTGTAAGTTTACATAATTTATTTTTTATGATGGCTGTGCTCAACAACTGACTCTGGAAATTTGACAATCAGCCTTTGTGAATTGATACAGGCCAACTCCAGCACACCACTACAAAGGGGATCAGTGTGTCTTATAAGTGGGAGAAGTGGGCTGGGTGTGGCTGAGGGAAATTGGACAGCACCCCCTACCCTAAATAGAAGGCCACTAACCCCGGTCCCAACAGTTATTGTCCATGGGATATAGAGCTAAATCACTAAAAATTGGCCTGGATCACCCGTTTTTTTCAAAAGAAGCCAGAAATGTAGATTTTTATGGGATTCTCTTGCCTTACAAAAAAATGGCAACAAATCAAGACATTTTTGAAAACACGGTGCTAGCCAAACAAAACATATTTATGTGCAGAATTCAGCCTGCGGACTTCTGTTTGTGACCTCTGCCTTCACATGTGCCTCATGGGCTGTCCTGGTGGAGACCCAGTGAGCAGGGCCAAGACGAGAGTGAGGTGAGTGAGGCGCTAGACTCAGGCACAAAATTTAAGAGATGCCAAAACACTCAATAATCAAGATAAAGAATATTTTAATGCAATATTTAAAAGATTAAAACTAAAACAAAAAAAAAATCCATGTTGTACAAAATAACATTTTCTGTGAAGACAGGATCAGTAACAGTATTGTGCCAGACCACATTGGAGCCTGAGGCAAAAAGAAAAATCCATAACACTGATTTAGGGCTAGAGGAGCTTAAGGACCCTTCCGTCAGTGCCACTCTCTGGCCCTGTGTTCTAGGGCTTGGGGAGGGTGGGGATACTCGAAGATATGGAGCTGGAAATCTTTCTAGGCCTTGGCTCTTCTTGCAGGCTTCTGTGATCTGTGTGTCTCCAAGCAAGGCCCAGTGAAGTCTGCCCAGCAGCCTCCCCAACCCCAGAAGATCTGACTTCAGAGGAGGAAGGAGCAGGATCTACCAGATGTGGAGCTGATTTGCATGATAAAGCCTTAGTTGCTGGAAACGTGGAGAGGCACTGCTTCTGACTCTGCAAGGTCCTTGCTCTGTGACCTTGGGCGGCTGGCTGGAGCATCACAGTTTCATGACATAGGGCCTGTTTTCTAGTCAGTCACACATAGCATCTTGTTTACTCCTTTTGGAGTTTTCTTTTTTGGATCCTAGAATCTAAAGATCAAGTCTTTCATCCCCTTTCTCCAAGCATGAAAAAAAAAATTGTTTAGCCTAGACCAGTAGTTCCAACAGGGGGTGATTTTGTTCCCTAGAGAACATTTGGCAATAGAGACATTTTTGATTGTCATGACTTGGGTGAACCTTCTACAATGCACAGGACAGTCCCCTATAATGTAGATTATCCTGTCCAAAAATCATGAAGTTGAAGCTGAGGTCGAGAAACCCAGGCTAACGCAGAGAGATCTCTGTCCCATTTTCAAAGTTCTCCTGAGAAGCTATGTTCTCATCCATTGCCTTAAAGCCCTGGCAACCAGAAACATCTAACCTCATTCACTCACATTGTTATTTTAGAGCTTTTTCCCCATTTAGCCTTCGAGGGATATAAAAAGTAAGTTTCTCAATCCCCACATTCTTCTTGAGCTAACTGGCACTTTCCCCTCATTATTTCTCTGCCTCTGTGATTCCTCTCCACCTTTCTTTTCCCCAGGCTCAGATTAAGAGGAGGAAGGGCTCAGTTCTCCTTACTTGAATTTGAGAAGGATCCTGAGCCTCTGCTCTATGGAGAGGTAGGCTAGGGAGCTGGGAGATGAGCAGGGGAACCTATCGATGAATAATAAATATTTGAGGAATGAAAGACAGGTGTTTTCCTCTTGCTACTGACTCTTGGCTGTCTTTGCTTAGCCAGAAGAGAAGAAATTTTCCAGAGGTCTCCATCTCCCAAGCACCTCCTCTCTGATTGAGGAGGCAAGCATGGAATGCCAATTTTGTGGCAGGTCCTACTTCCTGGAGGAAGTCAGACTGGGGGGTTCCAGTATCTTCTTCCATTTGTTACTGAGTATGTACTAGGCAAGAGTTTTTTAATCCTTGGTTATCCACTTTTTTTGTGTGTGTGGTAAAATATAGAACATACAACATAACATTTTAATCAGTTTTAATCAGTGGCATTAAATATATTCACGACATTGAGCAGTGATGACCACTGTCCATTTCTAGAACTTTTTCTTCATCTCCAGCAGAAACTCTGTACCTATTAAACAATAACTCCCTATTCCTCCCTTCCCCCAGCCCCTGCCTGGTAACGTCTATTCTACTTTCTTTCTCTATGAAGTTTGGGCAAGGAGTTTTTGTTTCTTACTTTATCTGTAATCATCTCTACTTCACAGATGAAAAGACAGAAGTTAAGTAATGGCCCCATAGTCATATAACTAGCAACTAACTGACAGAGACAGGATTTGAACCCAGGTCGGTTGTCATTCATTCATTCAATAAACGTGTATTGAGCACCTAATTCATGTTAAGCATAGGAGTAGTGACAAATAAGATATAGTCCCTGTCATCAAATGATTCACATCTAGTGATAGAGATAAATTTTATGTAAATAAATGTGATTATATGTGAATAAATGGAAATGATAGTCGTTATATACAACAGACAATGCACTAAGCAGGAGACCACCTTAAGAGTGGTCAGTTCTTTCTGGGATGGGGTCAGGAAAATTTTTTAGAGAAGGTGCTGCTGAGCTGAATGTTGGAAGATAAATAAGACAAGAATTAGTTGGAAGGAGAGTGGGGCTGGAGAGGTAGAGGGAGCAGTGTAAGTAACTGCTGAGGAGCATGAAGCTGCCTGGATGCGTGTAAAACTTCTAGGAATTCTGAGGGCTAAAGGTTAAGAAGGGCCCAGATGGGGCTGGAGGTGTAGTCGGAGGGCCAGATCGAGAAGGGTCTTGTATGCCATCCTAGGGAGTTGGGCTTATCCTGAGGGCAATGAGTAGCCATTAGACGGTTTTAAGTAGGGAAATGAAATGACCAGATATGCACTTTAGGAATGCAGCCACTGAGAGAGGTAGACCAGAGGGAACAAAACTGGAGGCAGAGCAACTTACTGGCATCGTAATAATCCTGGTGAGAGAAGATAAAGGGCTGGACTAAGGCTTTGCCATGGACTGATAAGAAGGCAATGGATGAGAGACACATGAAGGAGGTAGCATTGAAGGGGCTCCATTAGCAATTAGAAGTGGAGAAGAAGCAAAAGGGAGGAATTATAGGTAACAATCAGGATTTTGACTTGGATGATAGTACTATTCACCAAGACAGGAAGAAGAGTTGGTGTGGGGGAAGAATAAGTATACCTAATATTAATAAAGTACTTACTATGTGCCGGATACTTTTCTAAGTCCTTTACATTTATTAACTCAGATAACCCACACAACTCTATGAAGTAGATACTGTTATTATCTTCATTGCACAGATAAGGAAGTGGAAGCAGAGAGAGGTTAAGCAACTTGCCCGAGGTCACACAGCTCTGAGCATCTAAATCTAAGCCGATGCTTGTAGTCACTATGGCACTCCTCTAGGAAATAAGTTTAGTCTGGACATGCCGAGTTGGAGATGGTTGTGGCTATCCTAACAGACTGCATTCTCCAGGATCAGTTAGAAGTTGGAGGTATCTTGAGGAACACTGATGTTTACATGATGGAGAGTGGAAGAACAGCACATTGACTAAAATGGAGGAGCCAGGGAGATAAGAATCAAGAGAACTTGGTTTTTGAAGGTTAAGGGGAAGAGGAGGTTCCAGTGGCAGCTCCAGGATTCTGTTTAGGGAGTGATTAGGAAAGACAATCAAGTTGGCAGTGGAAGCTGGGTCATGTCTTGACCCTGAGTTTGCACACTAAGCACGCTGCTATATTTAGATCGTATGTGTATCTGGGAGACTGAAAGAGGATGCTGATGAAGATAATGAGTGTAAATGTCCCCCGAACTATACCTTTGAAATGTTTTCAGTAACTTTCAGGATCAGAAGCTGCAGAAATGTAAAGATGAGATTTTTGCAATGGGAGGCCTTAAAGAGCATTCACTGGGCAAGGACGGAGGTGACCAAAAGTTACATGTTACCCTGAAACCTGGAGGAAGGACAAGCTAAGTTATGAATAGTCTGCTGTGGAATCTTGGGGAAAATATGCCTGGTGCTATTTGGGTATTTTTTTAAAATTCCCAGGTCATTTGGAAGTTTCGAAAGCCCATTTAGTTAGAAACATGTCAGTGGAAGCTTAATTGCAGCATCAGTGTGCAGACTGTCTTGGTTAATTTGGGATTGTGTTGGGGCTCCTGAGTTTCTGCTTCCATCCTTTATTCTTCAGTGTCCTTTTCTCTGCCAGATTGTTCTTGTCCTTGTTAGGTAATGAGTGGCACGCCTGCCTGGGAGTCAGGCACAGATGGAACTGGAGCTCTTGCTGTGGGCTAGAAATAGTGATGCAAATAACTAGCTGCTGGGGCTTTATATTTTCACCCCCTTCCCCTTCTACTTCTACGCCCCACCCCCGCACCTCTTTTCCTTCCTTAAGGCTTGTGATTTCTGTGTCCACAGATGAGTGACTGGTCGTTCCTGGGCAGGCTCCTGACACAAGTGCAAAACCATTCCACCGTGGTTGGCAAGGTGTGGCTCACCGTCCTTCTGGTCTTCCGCATTCTGCTGGTCACCCTGGTGGGAGATGCAGTCTATGGGGATGAGCAGTCCAAGTTCACCTGCAATACTCTGCAGCCTGGCTGCACAAATGTCTGCTATGACCGCTTCTCACCTGTCTCCCACTTCCGCTTCTGGGTTTTTCAGATTGTGCTGGTAGCCACTCCCTCTATCTTCTATGTCATCTATGTCCTGCATCAGATAGCAAGGGAGGAAAGAGTAGATATGGAGAGGGAGTACCTGCTGGATACATTGCGAAAGCTAGCATCTGGGGGAGCCCTGCAGAGACCCAAGCTGGGGCTCTTGGCGTCTTCTCACTTCCTAGAGGGACAGCTGCTGGTGGGAGAGAGGGTTCTCCCCAAATGCCTTGGTGCTGCAGCCAGGAATCCAGGCCTGCGGTCACAAAGAGTCTTGGCCATCTACATTGCCCATGTGGTGCTGCGGGCCTTCATGGAACTGGCTTTCCTGGTGGGGCAATACTATCTGTTTGGGTTTGATGTTCCATACTTGTTTCACTGCCACTCCTATCCCTGTCCTACTAGTACTGACTGCTTTGTATCCAGGGCCACAGAGAAGATGATTTTCCTGAACTTCATGTTTGGGGTCGGGGTGGGCTGCTTCCTCCTGAACCTGGTGGAGTTGCACTACCTGGGCTGGGTCTTCACCTACCGGTTCCTCTTTGCAGCCTGCACCAGTTGCTGCCACTTCTGTGGGCAGCCTGCCCATCCTCCACTGCTCTACTCTGATGAGGACAGTACTGGGCTCCAGGTGTATTCCTGCCTTTAGTAAGTGCCCAGGCAGTGCAGTCCCCAGCAGGTATGCTCAGGCTTCCTGCCTAGTGATGAGAGGCAGCTGCTCCGGGTAGAGGCAGAAACTTGAGATCTGACTGGGCGATGCCACCTGGCAAAATATCCTGCCATCACCATTGTTCTCCTATTTGATCCTTGAGGATGAGGAATGTGGAGTGAGAGTGGGGAATCCTGCTTCCTCCTGAAAGCATTACCTGAACAGATGTAGGACAGTGAAGTGATGAAGAGGAAGGCCTCTGGAACCAGTCTGCCTGTGTTCAAATTTCAACTCTGCCACTTACCAGCTGCATAATCTTCAACAAATTGCTTAACTTCTCTGTGCTTCAATCTCTTTACCTGAAAAATGGGAATAATGATAACAGATCCTACTACATAAGAATGTTGTGAGGATGAGATGAGCTTATATATGTAAAATGCTTACCAGTAGAAGCTGGTCACAATAAACATGAACCATTGTATTATCTTTAGCTGCCTAGAGTGTTGCTTTGCCTTGCTGCCTGGTCCTCCCAGAATCATGTTATCAACTGTCAACTCTTCCCTCAGTTGCTCCTATGACTGTTGTTAGCTCTGTCTCCACACAAACCTTCCTTCATATTCTCTCCTATACCTGTCCTCCCCACCACCTTCCAGTTCCCAAATCATCTCCCTGGTTTAGACTTTCACTCTCGCTTTCCTGGAGTGCTACTGCTCAAGCCACCAAGCACCTCCTGCCTGCACTGTCCCCTCCCTCCATTCCAACCTGCACATTCCTCTTGGTCAGCTCTCCTTGAAGCTTCTCAGCCTGGCATTCAGCACCTTCCATGAGCCGGCCAGGATCTCTTTTTCCAGCTTAATCACCCTCTCTTTCCCATTCCAGCCTCACTAGTTGCCACGCCTACACCGTCAAGGGCTTCCTCCCACCCTTTGCTTGTTCATCCTTCTGGGGAGCTCTGCCCTGGCAGGCTTCAGAGCCCAACTAACTGGATTCAAATCCTGCTCAGCCACTCACTGACCATGTGACCTTGAGCAAGCTGCTTGGTGCTTTGCGGCTCAGTTTCCTTCTGTATATAAAGGAACTAATAATACCTACTTGACAGGGTTGTCGTGAGGATTAAACAAGATAATGTAAATATAGGGCCAAGTGCACAATGTTTCTTTGCAAGTAGTAGGTGCTATTATTATCATCTAAATTCTACTGTTATGGGCTCAAATCTGACCCTCTTCCTTTAAAGCCTTCCTTGACCCTTCCTCTGGTCTTTTTTTCCTCTGAGCCTCCATGATGCTTCCACTTGATAATTGGTCATGTAATGTTTTGTGACTTCCCCTTTGCTGCAGCCTTGAGTGGTTATATAAATCCATCCTGCTGGGTAACTTTGCTCATGTCTCTAACTGGTCTTTGCACCTCAGCTGCAGGCAGTGTGGTGATGCTATGCTTTGCAGGAAGAGAATACACCATCCTGCTCTTAGTTTAGTGCTTTGCATGGAATAGGGGCTCAACTCATATATGCCATTTTAATTTAGTTTTGCTATCTTGATGCCAGAATTAGGAGTAGGTCCAGAGAGGGCTACACCTGAGGCAAGTCAGAAAACCAGAAGAGATGGACATTCTACCATCTCCTTCAATAACTTGGGCTGGTTTTAACAATCCTTTAACAGCGAAGAAAGTTCTTTCCAAGATCTAATTGGAGTCCTACTTGCTGTGGTGGAAGCTGTTTCCCTTGGGCCTCCGGCTATTGATGAATAGGTCCTGATTATTTCCTAGGCCAAGGTTCAGCAAGCCATAGCCCACAGGCCAAATCTGGCCCTCTACCTCTTTTTATAAATAAATTTTTATTGGAACATAGACAAAAGCATTTGCTTATGTTTTGTCTATGGTTGCTTTTGTGCTACAATGGTAGAGTTGAGTAGTTGAAACAGAGGCCATCTGGCCTGGAAAGTCTAAAATATTTACTATCAGGCCCTTATAGAAAAAGTTTGCTGACCCCTGTGCTAGGCCATTGGGGGCCTTTGAAGAATTCCAGTCTAGGAAGTGACATGGTCATATCTATACTTCAGAAGGATCGCTCTGGCAGCCACATGGAGGTGGAGTTGGAAGGGAAGAGGTAGAAAAAGGTTACCAGGAAGAGGCTGTTGCCATTGTCCAGCTGAGAGCTGATGAGGCCTGAGCTGAAGGGATGGCAGTGGAGATGAGGAAATAATTTAGATTAGAGAGATATTTATGGAGTAGAACCAGTGCCTGAGTGGATGGGTCTAAGAAAAAAAGAAGAGGCAGGGAAAGTGGACTTTTGACTTCATGGACTGATCATTAGGATCATTAACCAAACGAAAGTAGTCAGTGAGGAAGGTTGTACATTTGGCTTTCAACATGATTCATTTGGGGTATTTGCAAGAGATGGTGAAAGAACCAGGCTAGCTTCTAGAGTAATGTCTACCACAGAATTTGGGAGTTATCTGTTGTGTGAGAGATGGTTGAGAGTCCTGGGAATGAACTAGATCTCTCAAGGAGGGGCCATAGGATTATAGGAAAAGAAAGCAGAGGCAGAAATCTGGGAAGCACCAGAATTGGAGGTCATAGGAGACCCAAAAGAATTGGTATTGGAGGCCAAGTTGAAAAGAGAGTTTCCAGAAGGAAGACAGGTCAAACAATCAGTAGTGAGCAAGCCTGAGAGACAGTTCCTAGAATTAGCAATTGGGAGATCATTGATTAGGTCACCAACTTGTCCCCTTTCGCTTGGGACTTTCTGTTTTGCGCTGAAAATCCCACATCATGGGAATACCTTCAGTTGTGGGCAAACCAAGACAGTCGGTCACTCTCCTGAGGACCTTGCCAAGAATGATGTCAAAAAAAATTTAGTTTGCAAAGTACCTAACTTCTGGAAACATCGTTTTCTCAATGTTGATAAATCTATGTCCTAGTGTGATCCTCTTTAAATCACTCCAAGCATAATAACAAAACAAAGCCCTATTTTTGTATAGCACTTGACCATGATATGACCTCATTTAATCTTTACAACATCCCTGGGAGGTAGGAGGTTGTAGCTCTAATTTTACAGAAATGGAAAATGAGAGGTCAAATCATTTGACTAAACTTTCATGGCAAGTAAGTAGCAAAAACAGTCTCAACCTCAAGCCTTATGACCCCAGAAGGTTGTGCCTGGCTGCCTCCACATCCCTGCTTGTAGATGTCTATAGTCTAAAATATTGGGCTTATAGCTGAGGGGCTGTGGATCCCCTGATCATTTAGAGTGAGGCAAAGGCTATGATATTCTTGGAAGCACAGAAAGAAAACCACAGCTATGTGTAGATCATTACAGTAGTAAGTCTGCTGATTCAGAGAAAGCCTAATACATAAACCAAGGACTTTAAGGGTTTGTAAGTGGGGCTATATTTTATGCAATAGCTGAGCTCTTTAAAAAAATTTTGTGGCAAAATATGCATAACATAAAATTTACCATTTTAACCATTTTCAAGTGTACAATTTGGTGGCATTAAGTACATTCACAATGTTGTACAACCATCACTACCATCCATTTCCAGAACTTTTTCATCATCTCCAACAGAAACTGTACTCGTTAAACAATAATTTTCCATTCCTTCCTCCCCCAAGCCCCCAGAAACCTGTATTCTACATTCTATCTCTATGAATTTACATATCTCTATGAATTTACATATTCCACTTCATATAAGTGGAATCATATAATATTTGTCCTTCTGTGTCTGGCTTCTTTCACTTAGCGCAATACCCTCAAGGTTCAATCATGTTGTAACATGTGTCAGAATTTTTTCCCTTTTTATGGCTGAACAATATTCCATTGTGTGTAAATGCCTCATTTTGTTTATCCATTCATCTGTTGATAGGTGGGTTCTTTTATATCCTTACACTTCTAGTAAAGACAATCATATATTTTTAATGTCAGAGTCATTTCAGAGACAATAGGACCCTATGTACCTCCTGAAGAAAGCAATTTACACCACTTATGAAATATTCTTGCCAAAAAAAAAAAACCTAAAATCTGTTCAAGCCTCTAGATCTATCTACCAATTTATAGGAAATTCAGAGGCCAGAGCATCATATTAAACTACACCATGGGGGTGCAATTGGCAGAGTCCAGACTGGAAAATCTACAGGATAAATGACCTAGTTTCTTCAACAAACAAGTTGCCGGTTGGTGGCGGTGGGGAGAGAAAGAGACAGAAGAGAAACCTGTAGGTTAAAAGATACTTAAAAGTCATGTCAACTGACTGCAGTGTGTAGATCTTGATTCAAACAAAAGCAATTTTTAAAAGAACATTTACGGACATAATTAGAAATTTGAATATTGATTTTTTGATATTAATGAATTATTGTTTAAAAATTTTAGGTGGGATAATGATACTGTGGTTTTGTTTTAAAAATAATCCTTGGATGATCACTTTGTAAATTATATAAATGTCTAATCACTATGATATACATCTGAAACTAATATAATATTATATGCCAACAGTAAGCAAAGGTTTTAAAAATAATCCTTATCTTTTAGAGATATACGCTGAAATATTTTCAGATGAGATGATATAGTATCTGGATGTGCTTCAAAATTATATTGGTAGGAAGGAGTATAGTTGAAACAAGATTTCCATGAGTTGTTAACTATTGAAGTTGTATGGATACTTTGGGGTTTGTTATATTACTTTGTTTACTTTTGTATATGTTTGAATTTTCCCAAAATAAAACTTTTTATGTCATTTCAGAGATGTGGGGTTTTTTTTTCTTTTTTTTGGGGGGGAGGTGTGATTAATCTTTAGCAGTTACCCTCTTCTAAGAATTTAGCTTTAAGTTACCTAGAGAGTATTTTCCACCCACACTCCAAGCTTCTATGCAAAGAAATAAGGGATCTTAAGCTAATAAATGCGTTTTGAGGAATGATATTCAAGGATGTTCTTTTGTCATCTGAGCAACAATTGCCACAAGGCAGATTTCTAATTCCATGGGCTTTTAAAAAAGCTAGCTTACCTATTTGTCATCCTTTATGGAGGGTCATACCGCAGTAGCTTACCATGTGACAAATATCATCTTGCATAATTTATATTTGCCGTTTCTTCCAAGCCTCACAGTTACTCTGACTTATGTATTATTATCAGCTTCCCATTTTACAGATGAAGAAGTGAACGGCCAGAGAAATTAATAAGGGCTAACATCTGTTAACCACTTGCCATGTGTCAAGTAGTGGACTAATTGCTTTAAATGAATTTGCTTGTTTTATCCTCTCACATCCTTATGAGGTAGACACTATTATCATCCCCATCTTATGGATGAGGAAATTGAGGCTTAGAGAGGCTAAGCAACTTGCTAGCAGCTGTTAGACCAAGTGTCCTCCCAATGTGGGGTCCTAAAGCCCATGCACTTCCCACTCCTCCCAGGAGTTCCCATCTACCCAAAGTCTATATAGTTTACATTAAAGTTTACTCTTGGTGCTGTAGCTTCTGTGGGTTTAGACAAATGTATTACGACATGTATCCATCATTGTAGTATCATATAGAGTAGTTTCACTGCCCCGAAAATCCTCTGTGCTCCACCTAGTCATCTCTCCCTTTCCCCCAACCCCTGACAACCAGTGATCTTTTTGTCCTCGTAGTTTACCTTTTCCAGAATGTCATAGAGTTGGAATCATATAATCTTTTCAGATAGACTTCTTTCACTTAGTATTATGCATTTAAGCTTCCTCCATGTTGTTTCATGGCTTCATAGCCCATTTCTTTTTAGTGCTGAATAATATTCCATTGTCTGGATGTACCAGTTTATCCAGCTACTGAAGGATATCTTGGTTGCTTATAAGTTTTGGCAATTATGAATAAAGCTGTTCTAAATATCCGTGTGCAGGATTTTGTATGGATATAAGTTTTTAATTCATTTGGGTAAATAATAAGGAGTGCAGTTGCTGGATCATATGGTAGGAGTATATTTAGTTTTGTTATAAACTGCCAAACTATCTTCTAAAGT